TGAGAGGGAATAACAAGCAGGTCTAGTCATTGAAGGACATCCTTCCATGCGCAGAAAGAAGCAGCAAAAGAAAGAGTTCCCCTGCTTCTCCCCCCCCCCAGTTAGGTATAGACATCTGATCCACACACACTTTCTTCCAGCAAACTGCTACTGATTTAATATACTCTTGCACTGTTGCTCTGAAAATGGCCAGAACCTCAGCAACCTGTTGTGGATGGGAAGCTGCTCATGTTTCGCTGTCCTGCTATCTGCTACTGCAGCTATCCTGTTCCACCGAGCATAAACTCAGCTATGGCATAGTGAGGAATGTTTAATCCATAAACTTACGTGAAATGCCTTCCTCAGCTAGAGTCTAGCGTGCCAGGAACAGAGCAGGTATTTGCTAGGGTCCCTGAGCCTCAAGAAGACTGAGCTGTTGGCCACTGAGCTGTACGTTCGCCACTGAGCAGCCGCCAGCCACAGCAGCAACTGCTCCTGCAGGAATTCTCTTAGTCAGTTACAGGCCAGTTAGAATCCTGACAACAGCACAAATCATAACTCCAAGGTACTGGTCATTTGGAACATCAGGAAAGTGGAAAATGGGAGGAACTCAGTTCCCTTCTTTCCCAATGCAGAGTGTTATTCCAGGACACTGTGCAGTTTAAAACCACGTTCTTCCCTGAAGTCAGATTCAGAGCAGTTCCAGCAGTAAAAAATGGTGATGTGTGTATCTCAGTACAGATTTGTTTGATGGTCCTGAATGCATTTCATAAAGGATCTCCATGTACAAGAAAGGCTAATGGCATGAGGCCCTGAACAATAAGAATTGCCTTGGCAAAATTATTGAAGGACTCCTTACAAACCTATCATTCTTCTTTCCCCCATCCCATCTTGTTTGGACATTATAGTAAGGGAGAAGATCTTAGCTCTTTCCTTTGCACTGGGATTACCATGGAAATTTGTGCCACGGGACCCCATCACTCACACCAATATGGGCAACATCCATTTTCAGAACCTATGGTGCCCATGATTTAAATCGCTTTCCTAAGACACTTTCAGTCAAAATATTTTGTGTTTGCTTCCTTCCTGTTCCTTTTCTGTGTTGATGCTCCGAATGTGAGCTGCTCAGCTGCATGCAGTTTCCACTGAAGTTTGTGTGTTGTGTGTGTGTGTGTGTGTTGTGTGGTGTGTGTGTGTGTGATTAACATTTCGGTCAAGCAATGGGCCTAAATCCCATCTATTTTCACCTGAAATAACTTTGGGAGCCAGCCTTTAAAAATCTAAAGTAGATATCAAATTCAGAGGGAATTAAAAGCTGTCATCTTTTTTGACTATTTGAAACATCTTAGAAACATACACAAATGTTAATGTTTTGAAGGAAGGCAGCAAATGGAGCATTGGAGCATCCATTCATTTCAGGAGTTGTGACCATTGATAAGATGAAGCACTTTCACATCGCGATGGCAGTGTGCAGTGCTTTTAAAAAAGGTAAAGGTAAAGGGACCCCTGACAGTTAAGTCCAGTCACGGCTCTGGGGTTGCGCCACTCATTGGCTTTACTGGCCCGAGGGAGCTGGCATTGGTCCACAGACAATTTTCTGGGTCAGTGTTGGCCCAGCAAGGACTAAGCCGCCTTCTGGCGGAAACCAGAGCACGCACAGAAACGCCATTTACCGTCCGCGTGGAGCCGGTACCTATTATCTAACTTGCACTTTGACCGTGGTTTGGACTGCTAGGTTGGGCAGGTAGCAGGGACCGCAGCACGGGAGCCACCCCGTCAAAGACGCAAGTCCAGTTCTGTATCTGCATGACATCCTCCGCACCCAACATGCTCTCCCCGTCTGTTTCCCCCACTTAATCCGGATACACCATCTCCATTGAAACTCTGCTCAGTGACACCCATCAATAGAAAAGTGCTGACCGTCTTCCTGCAGATACACTTCCATGCAGGGGTTTGGCCGACAAGTTCTTCCCGAGTGGGGGGATGTTTTCAGGGGCTCTTTGCTTTTCCCTGCCTCCCCTTTCATCCTCACCTGAGGAGATCTTGGCCATTCTCTTGACAGGGACCTCCCTTCTCAGGCCGGATTTCTGTTTCCTTCATTCCTCCTTCTCCCAGTCTGGTTCCCTGAGAAAATAAGAGAGAGGAGGTTTCATGCAAGTCAAGGTGTGCAATGGATCTTCAGGGCATTTGGAAGGAAGAAAAGGTTCAGGAACAAGCGACGCAGCAGCCCCCCAAGCGGAAAAACACATTTGACATATCGCTCATGAGATTCGCCCCCCCCCTTTTTAGGATATATATGCAGAACATCCCGTGCTCCTATTAATATACAAAGTGGGGTATTTCATATGATAAGAACAGAGGAAGCTGCCTTAGACGGAGCCAGACCAGTTTTGGGAAAGTGCTACATGGGCCAGTCCACCAACTGGCTACCAATGAGAACCTAGCAAAACACAAAATGGCTGCCATATGGTGTGGTATGAAATAAAATTGCCTGGCTGTGGGGCGTGAAGGCCGCTCCCCCACAAGGCCCTTTCCACCTGGCCTAGGAGGGCGAGGCCCACTCTCACCAGCCCCACTGAAGAGGCTCCTCATGAGGCTGGAGGAACACCACCCCACTGTGAGGCGTGAAGGCCGCTCCCTGCATGTAGGTTAATTCACAAGCAAGGGCAGTGAGCTCCTTCAAGGTGTTTTGTTTTTATGTAACAGTTCAGATTTTGCAGCACTTATTCTGATTGCTAATGCTTTTGCTTGGGAAATCTCAGTCATGAAAGAAATAAGAGTGAAGACAAGCTCCTGAAGTCATTGGCGTAAGCCAAAAGCAGGAGGGAAAAAGCGATAAGTTTTCAATCACGATTGGCAGGCCAATTCTGAGAGGAAGGGACTGTGGTCAGTGTTTTGCAGGAGCGATTCAGTTGCATGCTGACCATGTCAGTTTGCCCAATTAAAGCAGAATTAAAGCACTCTGGTGCAACAAATCCACTTTTTAAAGGACTTATTTGCAGTTAGGGGAGTGACAGGGCAATGCACTAAAAAGTATAGTGTAAATTACTGATGGTGGAACCCAGAAGCAAATCAGGATGAATGCTAAATAGAATTGGCATCATCTAAACTCCACATAAATTTTGTGCAAGCAAATCAGGTTGAGTGTTTAATTTATTTTATTTTAATTTTTTTAAGGTTCTGCACGAGCCCCTTTACTGACTTGTGAATTCTACCTTCACATACAATGGTCATTACGCTTTCACCCAGTTTCCAGTAGATGGCGCCATCTACTGGAAGATAGCAATAAAAAGCCTTTACAATGTTAACTGTATGAGCTGCTACTTAAAAGTAACTTTACAGTTCATTTCTTCGTACTTCAATTTTGTAAGTGATGATTTAAAAACACCTGGAATGTGCTTCAAAAGTCAGATCAGTTTTAGGGATGGAATGGGTTGTGCTCGTATACATGTCAGTGATAAATGACATGTTTAGAAAGGGGAATATGCTGGTTGGAAGTAATTTCTAACTCTGTCCCTGTTGCTCAGGAATTGAAAAAGCTGCTAAATCCAACCTAATAACTGTATCTTGAGCGAAACTGACTTCACTGTTTTCTCCTAACACATCTTGTTTACCTCCCCTCGATGTCCTGCTGTCACTCTTGTGCTCTGAAACGTACCATAGAGTTTGTTATGTCTCCTGGCAGTACGCAAGTTGCTGATCGCATTTTGTGTTTTGCTGTTCAATTGTGTTGACTGCACTAATAAATTGCATTTTTCCTGACTACTTTACAAGCTTCCTTCCGACTCAGGTGTGTTGCACCCTGCATGAAAACTTTGCAAAGCTGCTTGGTTCCTTTTTTGCATTAACCTCTCGGAAAGCTGCTTGGTTCCTTAGTAACATACTCAGGTACGACATGGGCGTAGAAAAATGCATGACTGCTGCCATGTCACAGCCAGCCAGCTCTTGTTTATCACCACTTCCTTCCTTAACCCACAAGACACTGTAAGGGATTCAGGGCTATTTTAAACGGGGGTGAGAGGTGGGCAGGCCGGGAGGTACCCCTTTATCACGGCATATCCAGTTTTAACCCATGCATACTATTTTGTATGCACGGGACACGGGTGGCGCTGGGACACAGGTGGCGCTGTGGGTTAAACCACAGAGCCTAGGACTTGCCGATCAGAAGGTTGGCGGTTCAAATCCCCGCAACGGGGTGAGCTGCCATTGCTCAGTCCCTGCTCCCGCCAACCTAGCTGTTCGAAAGCACATCAAAGTGCAAGTAGATAAATAGGTATACCTCCGGCGGGAAGGTAAACGCGTTTCCGTGCGCTGCTCTGGTTCGCCAGAAGCAGCTTAGTCATGCTGGCCACATGACCTGGAAGCTGTACGCTGGCTCCCTCGGTCAATAAAGTGAGATGAGCGCCGCAACCCCAGAGTCGGTCACAACTGGACCTAATGGTCAGGGGCCCCTTTACCTTTACCTTAGCATAAACTGACAGCTTGTAGCATAAGCTGACAACTTGGTTTGTGGGGAGAAATGTTACTTGGATTTTAATCGACAATCAACCCCAGGTAATTGCTGTTAAAAGCAAGGAAGCCCTATTTAAAGCAAAGGAACCTATGAAGCTGCCTTAAACTGAGTAAGACAGTACTGGGTTATCTTACCCAGTGTAGTCACCACTGACTGAAAGCATCTCTCCAGCATCGTAGAATTGTAGAGTTGGAAGGGACCCCAAGGGTCACCTAGTCCAACGCCCTGCAATGCAGGATATCAGTAGTGTTTGCCAACCGTACCTGGAGATGCTGGAGAACCTGGGTCCTTTTGCACGAACCTTGTCCGGCCATTGAGCCACAGCCCAGAGGAATTATATGGGGAGAGAGCAAAAATAGCTAGTATAGATTTACTCTGTAAGCTAAGCAATAGTAAGAAGAAAAGTCGGGCGAGAAGCAGTGGTCACCCCTGATGTTGACAAGACGACAGCTTCCATTTTGAACCCTGTGGAAGCAGAAGGAGGGGGTTGCTGGGAAAGTTGGATCCCCCAAATCGGGTATAAGGGGTTGGGAAGGATTTTTAACCCTTACTGAGTTTTGACCATTGGGTTATATCGTGTTCACACAGGTGTGCCTGCAAACTCTGGGAAGAAGTGGACAAATGATCTTGTTTTGATATGAGCAACTATGGGGTTTGTAGCAGGTGCTTGGAATGTGTTAGGTAGGTAGATGGAGAATGGTGAAACGAAGCCATCTGCCGAGGCTTAAAAAACTGGGAGGCCCTGGAAGAGACTTTCTTCCCCAGTAGGTTTGCCAGAACTGACCTCTACGGAAAGGGAACAACAGCTCCTGCCAAATTCGAGCCAAATTCTTCAACATAGTTTTAGTTATTAGCTGCCATGCCTGTTGACATGTTGCCCGGTTTGCCTTACTTTAGCACGTTAATGCCAAATGGGTTCTAGCTAAACAAAACCATTGCTTTCTGCTATAAGGGTTTGATCTGTTTTTCTGCCACAGCTGCCTTTGGGTTCTGTCAATTAAACTGCTGACAAACACTAGCTGGGGTCATAGACCACAAGGGCCATCGAGTCCAACCCCCTGCCAAGCAGGAAACACCATCAGAGCACTCCTGACATATGGTTGTCAAGCCTCTGCTTAAAGACCTCCAAAGAAGGAGACTCCACCACACTCCTTGGCAGCAAATTCCACTGTCGAACAGCTCTTACTGTCAGGAAGTTCTTCCTAATGTTTAGGTGGAATCTTCTTTCTTGTAGTTTGGATCCATTGCTCCGTGTCCGCTTCTCTGGAGCAGCAGAAAACAACCTTTCTCCCTCCTCTATATGACATCCTTTTATATATTTGAACATGGCTATCATATCACCCCTTAACCTCCTCTTCTCCAGGCTAAACATGCCCAGCTCCCTTAGCCGTTCCTCATAAGGCATCGTTTCCAGGCCTTTGACCATTTTGGTTGCCCTCCTCTGGACAATTTGTCAGTGTCCTTCTTGAACACAAGCTTAAAAAGAAGAAAGTGTCAGTGGGTACATTGATCATTTGAAACAATGTGTGTGAAACAGGTTTTCTCTCTTCCCTTATGTATATATATTTCCCTTTATATCTGGTACAGCCTAAATTTGTTTTCTGCCATTTCAATGGAAAAGGTAATTTTCATTCTTTCTCTGCTTAGAAACTGGGTCTGTCTCTCCCTGGATGTGTGAAATAATAGTGGGTTAAGATGAATACATTCTTAGAAGATCCTTGCTGTAGCTCCTAACAGCTCTACTTTCCCATCTCTTATCAAATGGATACCTTATCATGATTTCTCAAATTGAGGCCATATGCAGCCACCTGGGAGCTTAGTACAGGCATAAAAGCATGGAGACTGAGGACAGGGTAGAAAATAAGGCAGAGGTGAGGCCACAGGACCAATGGATGTAGCCACCTTTTAGTTTCTCACGAGGAAGCTGGTGTGTGCTTTGTAAAGTGGAACTTGAGGCTTCTGAATGATGTCTTGGCAGTTCTGCCTTTTAACTTCATGCTTTTGGGTTTTCAGATGATCAGGAATTGGTATCTCGACTCCAGAAGTACGTACAAATGATACCTCTCTTCTTTTGCATCCAGTACCTTCCAAGTGACAGCATGGGAATGGGGGAAGGCCTCCCCCAAATAAAAAAGTCCTGCCTTATGACTCCTACAAATATTCAGTTGAAAGCTACAAGCTGCTGTGCCTGAGTTTAGTGTTGTGATCAAGCACTGCAGAGAGACTGTGCCTGTTGCCTTCCTACAACTGCCATCACCCTGACCATTGGCCACGTGGGCTGGGTGGGGTTGGGAACACAGCAACATCTGCGCTGTTAGGTGCTCCCAACTATTTAAAGGGCACCCCTATAAATAAATAAATCGGTTTTTTCCCTCTTGGCCAACACATGAGAAGTGTCGTAGCAACAAGGCTGGAGATGCGGCTGTGTTTGGATTCTCTGATGCTGCTCTCAGTGCCGTGGAGTTCACGAAACATTGCCTGGACCACCCAGTCCTGTCCTTGAGCCCTGCCTGATCATTGGAAGCAGCTATCCCAGAACTGGGAAAAAATCAAGTATTTCAATTGGGGGGGGGGCTGATTGGAGAACACTTGTGATGTATCATGCAACTTAACACATCGGATTAGGCCTAATTCACAGTCCTTCAACCCTCCAGTAAGCATAGCATGAGGAAGGTTCATTGGTGCAATGTATGCTTTTGAAGACCAAAAAAAAAAAAGCTTTAATAATCAGCGTTTGTGCAATGCTTTCTAAAAGGTTCCAAAATGTTTCAGGTGCGCCCTTGATAGTACCTGAGATTCACTCTTAACTCTTGTTGGCTATGAGTAAATCTTTAGTAGCATATCCATCCTTCTGAAAATGGCTCTACAGTGGTACCTCGGGTTACATACGCTTCAGGTTACGGACTCTGCTAACCCAGAAATAATACCTCGGGTTAAGAACTTTGCTTCAGGATGAGAACAGAAATCGGCAGCAGCGGAAGGCCCCATTAGTTAAAGTGGTACCTCAGGTTAAGAATAGTTTCAGGTTAAGAACGGACCTCCGGAATGAATTAAGTACTTAACCCGAGGTACCACTGTACTTGTTTGTATATTCTTCATCATAAAAAACTTACATGAATAGGAAGGACTCATGAGGCCAGGGATGTGACAACTTCAGTTGTTATGTACTGCTGCCCTCTACTGGGAATACTGTTAAGTACACCTCAATTTTTATTTAAAACATTTCAAAGGCACTTGTTGATAAAAAGTCCCAAGGAGCAACTAACAAAATACCATATTTTTCAGTGATCAAATCTAAAGAGTGGATTACACAATAGCCTGAACCATTAGAAAGCATGAGAATCCTCCACAGGGGTGTAAGCAATAAGACACTATACATTAAACAACAACAACCAGAAAATTACACATAAAAATTCTTTTCCTTTCCGTGGAAATAACACACTGTCAAACATATTCCAACATTCCTACATAAATAACACGTAATACACGACAAACTAATTAGACATCAGTTGCATATCTTGAGGCAATTGTGATCTTCTTGTCAATCCTGGAGCACAGTCTTGAGGTTCAAAAGTGACAAAAATGCCCTTACAATTCAACTCCTCCCCCCTTCGTTAGCCCCACTCCATCTCAGTCATTATCCTTTGAAAGGAAAGAGTTGTGGCCAGGCTCCTGTGTCTTTGTTGTTGTTGTTGCTGCTGCTGTAGGTAATAAATAGTCTTGTAGTCAGGAGGAGTTGGGCTTAGGGTTCCCCATCATCGCGTCTGCAACAACATCTATAGAAGTGATATGCTGTAGGGGGCAGGGCCTTTTAGGGACTTAAAAGACAGAATTAGAAAAGAAGGAAGGGGTAAAAAGCCCCTCCCTAAAAAATCTCCTGGAGTTATCTTGGTTAGCTGCAAATAATAAAATTGTAGCCTGTTAAGCATGCTATTCATTTTAACATTATTATCACATTTCCACATACCGTATTTTTCACCCTATAGGACGCACCTTTTCCCCCTCCAAAAATGAAGGGGAAATGTGTGTGCGTCCTATGGGGCGAATGCAGGCTTTCGCTGAAGCCTGGAGAGCGAGAGGCGTCGGTGCGCACCGACCCCTCTCACTCTCCAGGCTTCAGGAGAGCCGCAGCGCCAGCCCCACAAGGTCGGGGGGCAGCGGGGAGGCGGAACGGCGCCATCCCGCTGTCCCCGGACCTGGACTGCAGGCGGGCGGCGGGGAGGAGAGCGCTTCTCCCCGCTGCCGGCCCCACAAGCGCCTGGGGGGGAAATAATTTTTTTTCCTTTATTTCCCCCCCAAAAAACTTGGTGCGTCCTATGGGCCGGTGCGTCCTATGGGGCGAAAAATACTGTAATTATTGTAATTATCTTCTAATTTTGTTTGATTTCCTTCAGTTAGTTACTCCACATGTACAGGAAGACCAGGGTTATAATATAAACAACAAAAATAAAGAAATTAGATTTCCAGTTAAAAATTACATTTTCAGATGAAAACGGACTTGACACAAAGACATCATATTTTGAAAAGAATTATTATTAAAGAATACAAAAATATTATCAAAGCCACACATATTCCCAAAATGAACGGAACTTGATCTATGAGGAACCAAAGATAAATAAATGTTTAAAAACACAGTCTTTAAGTAACCTGAAGCTTCTCTGTTTTGGCATTCTAACAATAAACATCCTAAATGAAAATCAAAGAATGTTTCTTGATGTAATAGCAAAATATGGAAAAACGAATTCATACCAAGAAAAAAATGAATGACAATTCAAAGTTGTGGTGCAGGTACCTTGAACTAGGCACAATAACAAAATTAATAAGAAGTAAAGTAAAAAAGGTAAACAAATACCACTCCCCAAACAATGTTGGTTGTGCCGCGATCCATTTCATAAACAACATGGAAAAACTGATTAGTAAATGAAAACAGAATATTTATAACTTAGGATAAGTGTAAAAAAAACACACAAAAAACCCACCTGTGAAAAGCACTTGGTATGTTAGAAAAGAACTTGGCAATGAGCAAAGGATACATAAAGCTGATCTCCCTCAATGGTTTCGAATTGTACACAATCCCTGCAGTCCACTCTCTCCAAACCTCCTTTCTCCCCCCTTTTCTCTTTTTGTTTTTAAGCTGACATAGCCTCTGTGCATGTGCAGAGTTCACGTTTCTGCAGACATTTTATAGCATTGAAAGTGATGCATATTTTGGCTAAGTTACCATTAGTGAAAGGAAGGGTAAGGAGTAGATTTGAAAAATAAGGTTAGATTCAAAACACAAAGAGAAACTCAGCAATTCAAGTTCTCACCAACGCCACTACACCCCTAATCCGCTGCCTTTCATCCTGGGAACTCTGTCTTCCAATCTCCCCGCCTTCCCCTTCCAAGCTATCCTCCCCTACTCCCAGCCAGCTTTGCCCTCGCTGGTGTGCTTCTGCCTGAAGTTCCCACCTACGGCATTTCCCCATGTCTCCCTTAGCCTCTCCACTCTGTCATCCTGCCAGTCTGGCTCCACAATATCATCCAGACACTTCCCCCTCAGTCTTTGATCCTCATGGTCTTGGAAATCCTCCTCCTTGCCTTCGTCATCCTGACATTCCAGCCTCGTGCTCTCCATAGCTGCCTCTGCTAATCTTGTGTAACCCTCCCCTTTTGTGACATGTTAGTAATGTGGCAATGATGTATTGATGATGCTGTGCAAACTGTATTCTGACATATGGTGGGAAAGTTTTCAAAGTCAATGTGGCCCCATGCTCTGGGTTCACTGGCTGCTGTTGAACCTGTTGAACAATAAAGGCTCTGAGGCTACTGACTGCTGTTTTGCTCCAAATTGCTTGCTTGCTGGAATTTCCTTCTTTTACTGACCACATGGACCTATGGGGGGGGGACCTGTACCCCGACAAGCTGGGCTGTTGAGTAGTCTCTCAACCTCGAATTTTCCTTACCAGTGTGGAACCTCTAATGCAGCTATCGCCCCACCCCCCAAAATATTGTTCCTTAGACTGTCCCTGTGGCTGGCTTTTTGGTTTTTTAAGAAAAGCACATTTTACATCAAATGTAAGCTGCAGATTAAGCTGGAGGAAGGGAGGGGTCACTCTTTCTCTCCTAAACCTCTCCTGTCCACCACCACCCTTTTCTGGGCACAATTATTTTAGACAGCCCGCCCCTGTTTCCTTCCTATGCAGAGTTAAGGTCCAATACGCTGCTATTGGGGGACTCGGGTGGCGCTGTGGGTAAAAGCCTCAGCGCTTAGGGCTTGCCGATCAAAAGGTCGGCGGTTCGAATCCCCGCGGCGGGGTGCGCTCCCGTTGCTCGGTCCCAGCGCCTGCCAACCTAGCAGTTCGAAAGCACCCCCGGGTGCAAGTAGATAAATAGGGACCGCTTACTAGTGGGAAGGTAAACAGCGTTTCCGTGTGCGGCTCTGGCTCGCCAGAGCAGCGATGTCATGCTGGCCACGTGACCCAGAAGTGTCTGCGGACAGCGCTGGCCCCCGGCCTATAGAGTGAGATGGGCGCACAACCCTAGAGTCTGTCAAGACTGGCCTGTACGGGCAGGGGTACCTTTACCTTTTACCTTTACGCTGCTATTACTGTTATTATTGTGAGCTTTGCAATGGTCATGGGGGATAATTTCCAGGAAATGTGTGGCATACTGTGTTTCTTTTTTAAAAAAAGATCTGTTTGCAAAAGGTATGTATAGAAAATCAATCAATCAATTACTAATAGGTCCTCAAAACACCTGGGGAGGTACTGCTGCTAGAAACTATTCCCCCTCCCCGTCCGTCCCACTTCTAATGCAAACCCCCTTCCTCAATTAGGATGGGATTTCAGCTAAAAGAGAGTTGGACAACTTGGGGGTTTCAGCAGGAAATTCAAGGCAGCCCCCTGCCTGAATGAGACTGGATTCCCCTGCTAAAACAAAAAAGGGGGACTGTTTAGGAGATAGAGCCAGACAAACCTGTTTCTGAATCAGGAAGGGGTTTGCTTGGAATCCCGCCCAACTGAGCAGAATTTAAGCCCCGCTCATCGGCTGACGTTGAAAACCAGATATCGCCTGGCCCTGGGCAGGATGGTACACCGAGCCTCCTCACATCTGTTCAAAGGAGGCTGCATAGCGGGGGTCATGTTTGTATCATTTCACGGTCTTCTTTATTTCTATGCTATTTTAGATGTGGCTTCATAGCCGAGTGGGGGGTTTGAGTCCCGGTGCCTCCCAGGTCCTAGTTTGGCAGTCTAACCACTAGGCCGCACTGCCTCTCCACCTTCCTGCTTGAAGCAGCCCTTAATTGGGGACCTATATTCCTGCTTAAACCAGCTTTCTTTTTAGGACTGTGAACTTTGCTTTGCAACACTGGTAGCTGCACTGTACATTTAAGGCGCCCCCACCAAGAATCTGGGAACTGTAGTTTGTTAAAGGTGCTGGGAACTGCAGCTTTCTCAGGGTTCTGGAAACCATATTGAGCTCTTTAGAATTATCAGAGATTGGGGGGAGGCCGTTAACAGATGCTGCGGAAATGAATTCTTCTTGTGGTTTTCCGTGTACGAGATCTATCCCAGTATATAAGCACTACGGTTTGGGAGGAGGCCAGTTGTTTGGAAAGCACAAGGACAACAGGAAAAGACACCCAGTCTTTTGTGGACTGTGGCAGATGAGGACAGAGGGAGACTGCGATTTGGGGAGAATGTATCTTATTCTAAGTAAAGCTTAATTCCACAGAAACAGAAAAGATGTTTGACGTTCTAGGATATGGCACTGCTGTTCAGATCGCAAGTTACCCAACCTCACAATTACTTAGGGTCTTGCAAACAGACCGATAGCCCATTCTAGTCCAATGCACTGATGTCCCCAAAAACCGGACGGATGATTCAAGGAAGCTTCCAGGCAGGGCATGAAGGCACTTAGCTCTTCCCCCCTCCCAGAACTGATATTCCAGGACAAACCTTTTTTATATCAGAACTTTAATGCGCTATTAGAATTAAAAGAGGGGAAAACCCAGCTGGATGGGCGGGGTCTAACTAAATTACTATTACGGTGTTTTTCACTCTATAGGGCTCACCTGACCATAGGGCGCACCTAGTTTTCAGAGGGGGAAATCAAGGGAAAAAATATGACACACCCCCCATCTCTGGGAGTAGCCAAGTTACAGGGAACCAGGAAGAGGCCTTCTCAGTGGTGGCGCCTTCTTCATGGTGATCCACTACTGCTTTAAGGGAGGTCTTGGAATAAGTAGATTTGTTGCTGATCCAAAACACCCACCCACCCCACTCACACATGAAAACAAAGACCACCACAGCCAACTACAAATGAATAACCACACCCTAGGCCACCCGACCCCACCCATCTTTCCCCCCCTCCACCTCTTTCCCCTTTCCTTCCCAATGTCTCAACAAATGAAAGTGATTTGTAAAAATGTTACATGGGGGGGAAACATGAGAGAGAGACATTGCACACTTTTGTAAATCAACAAAATCTTTAATGAATAAATAAATACTAAAAAAAAATCATAAAAAGAGGCCTCCTCACCTGAAGTACATCAAAGCCCACCTGAAGTCCCAAAATCCCTGAAGTACTGATCCACGCAGATCTATGTGTGTATGGAGAGATCTGCGTGGATCTGCATCTGATAGTTTACGACTCCCTGTTCTAGGGAATCACATGTATAATCGTATGTTTGGGGACATCAGGTGGCCTTTGATGTCCTTCAGGTAACCTTTGGGTGTAGGGCTTTCCTCCATCTCCACTGCGCAGGATTCCTCTGGAATGACAAGATCACTCGAACAGCTTTCCTCCATCTCAACTATGCAGGATTCCTCGGGAATGACAAGATCACTTGCACAGCTTTCCTCCATCTCAACTGTGCAGGATTCCTCTGGAATGACAAGACCACTTGCACAGCTTTCCTCCATTTCAACTATGCAGGATTCCTTTCGAATGACAAGATCACTTGCACAGCTTTCCTCAATCTCAACTGTGCAGGATTCCTCTGGAATGACAAGATCACTTGCACAGCCTTCCTCCACCTCAACTGCGCAGGATTTGACAAGATCTTCCGCATGGGTTTCCTCCATCTCCACTGCGGAGGATTTCTCTTGAATTACCAGGTCTAGCAGAGAACCACACTTTGAACAAATAGTTAGACTCTCGCTTTTCACCGCACTTCCTGGGGTAATCACCACTATAGTTTCTATTTGAGATGTATCTGTTGCGGTGGTCCTGGTGCAACATCTCTCCATCCCAACAAATGCTGCACTCAGCAGCTGGAAACCTGCAGCGATATAGCCTAGATAAATAGAAGGCCCAATATGCTGCTCGCTGGGAATTTGAGGCAATTCAAAAGTTTCAGGGAAGTCAATTCCCCCATTTTGTAAGACAGCAGACATGTTCCATATCACGGAAATCAGGATGAGTATCCCTGCTGGTAAGTTCAGCAGAGCTCCAAGCCCAAAAAAGGTTGAGAGAAAATCCTTATGTTTTCTGGCCTCCAACACATTGCAGAGGGCAAATAACTGCAATCCAAGGGCCGCTGAATTCATAATGGCAGCTAAGGCCATTAGGTCCTGAGCAATAAAAATTTCCCTCGGGAGGTTTGGATGTTGTTCATGGAGCTCTTCACAATGGTAATAATAGTTTCCGTCGTTCGAAGGGTCTTTCAAAAAACAGACCTTCCAGATTCCGATCCAGATGTTTCCAGATCCAATTCCCTTTATGTTTTCTACACGCCACACTCGCCAGTTGACAATGGCTATTGAGGCAATGCACGTCATCCAGGCCATAATATCCATCAGGAATGCACACAATGGGAAGCAGGGCACTAATCTCAGCCACCTGACTACCAGGGAGCCTTCTTTCACCCGCAGGGGGGGTTTGGAGAGGAGGGGAGCAGGGGAGACCTTGGAAGACATCCTGGAAACAAAAGAGAAGACAAGATGCAGTGAGAGAGGGAATAACAAGCAGGTCTAGTCATTGAAGGACATCCTTCCATGCGCAGAAAGAAGCAGCAAAAGAAAGAGTTCCCCTGTTCTCTCCCCCCCCCCAGTTAGGTATAGACATCTGATCCACACATACTTTCTTCCAGCAAACTGCTACTGATTTAATATACTCTTGCACTGTTGCTGTGAAAATGGCCAGAACCTCAGCAACCTGTTGTGAATGATGGGAGCCGCTCATGTTTCGCTGTCCTGCTATCTGCTACTGCAGCTATCCTGCTCCACCGAGCATAAACTCAGCTATGGCATAGTGAGGAATGTTTAATCCATAAACTTACGTGAAATGCCTTCCTCAGCTAGAGTCTAGCGTGCCAGGAACAGAGCAGGTATTTGCTAGGTGTCCCTGAGCCTCAAGAAGACTGAGCTGTTGGCCACTGAGCTGACGTTCGCCTGAGCAGCCGGCCAGCCACAGCAGCAACTGCTCTGCAGAATTCTCAGGTCAGTTACAGGCCAGTTAGAATCCTGACAACACCACAAATCATAACTCCAAGGTACTGGTCATTTGGAACATCAGGAAAGTGGAAAATGGGAGGGAACTCAGTTCCCTTCTTTCCCAATGCAGAGTGTCTATTCCAGGACACTGTGCAGTTAAAACACGTTCTTCCTGAAGTCAGATTCAGAGCAGTTCCAGCAGTAAAAATGGTGATGTGTGTATCTCAGTACAGATTTGTTTGA